TTTTTTTTTCTTCTCTAATTTTGTCAGCAAACGACAAGCTTCCTTAGCCTGCTGTATTTTGGCTGCAAGCGTTGGAAAATATGGCCAGGCATGGCCTGGATAGAAGCTGAAGGATGGAAAAAGAAACCACATTGAGGCGTTTAGACTGTTTGTCAGTGACACATAGTGTTGTTGTCGAAGACAAAAAGATCTATGTTTTGCCTCCAGCCCAGCTCTTCCTACTCAGTCCATAATCCAAAGCCTTATCTTTCAATGTACATCGTGACCTTTAGGCCCAAACTCCGTATACTTAATTGACCAATCCTTCAGAACAAAAATTTTCTATGTTCTTGTCGAATATCTTTTTCTTTTGGATAATTAATTGAACAAAGCCATAGATCCTTAGGTAAAAATGATTAGCACAGTTAACCAATGAAATAGGTTCATTCCTTCCTTAACCTTATCCTCTTATCTACTTAAAATATTCATTCTTAAATCAATTAGACTAACAAGTACCAACCCACATTTGTCATCTTTCCAACACATTAATAATGGGAAGCTGGGGATCTGTCATTTTACAACTAAACTAGCAAGGCCAGCAGCATTGTTGCTTTGGTAACTTCCATTAATGATAATGGAAGGAGATTGAGAAGTAATCCCCATCTGTCATTTTACCTTGTTCAAGGAGAATATGGTGGTACTACATATTTCTTACAAGTTACTTCAATTGAAGAATTAAGACATTTTAAAGTGTGGAGCTGGGCATTTAGGAAAGAAAGCTCAAGCTCAGGAGCTCTTGGTCCAAAGGGTTGCTTTCAAATCTCAATCGGGTTCCCCCTTGATAGTGGGCAATCTTTAAATGCCCCATTACTCGAAGTGCACCAAATTCAAGTCAATTTTGTTTGTCTTTGTGTTTTTGTAATTCGTTATTTTTTAAATACTCTAATCGAAACATCATTATATGATAAGATACTCAAATTTTATAAATATTTAATTAAATTTTACTAATATATAACTATAAAATACTTTAATCTTATTTAATTAAACTAAATTAACAAAATACTTGATTATAAGATGCTCATTCACTTCACCCTGTATTCACCCAAAACAGTGGAAATATTTGATAAAGAGTCCAAATTATGATGATGAGCCAAATCATCAGCGCTTATGATTTGACCTCACAGTGTTTTCATTGATCCATCAGTTTCGTGTTGAAATGGGTCCCTCCAGCACTCCAATCTCTTAGCCACATGGGCCATGCATGATTTTACTTTGACACCAAGTGCGGCCCGGGTTCAATCCTCCTTCAGGTGGGTCTTAACCTTAAACAACTGGGTTACAGGCTACCCAGAGTCCTGTACCCATCAAAGAAAAAAAGTGAAAAAGGAAAAGAACAAAGACAAAAAAGATGGCAAAAACAGAGAAATTAAATTAAATTTTACAAAGAAGAGATTAAAGGGTATTCGTGAACAGTTTCAGTCGAGTAGTTTTGGGTATGCTGTGGGACAGTTGAAACTAGTTGTTCCTTAAGCTGCAGGGACATGACCATATACTAACCTTTTTCTTTTTTATTGTTCAAAGCGTAAGGTCATATCATGTGGGACATTTGTATGCAATCCAGTTCAAGAGTCGGCTCTTGCAATTAACTTTTGTTTCTCTTTCAAAGGTAGAGTTGGGATTTGGAAGTTATATAGCAGCAAAAGGAGGGAATCAAGCTATTGTTACAATTTCACATTGTAGTTTTCTTAGAAAGAAGAATGCAATGAAATCAAACGCTGAGGTAAACCGAGCACATGCCACAGCATGATTGGATTTGAATCCATTCTCACCTAAAACTGAGAAAGTCAACTTGTTCAAGTTTTAACAAATGTAGATTTTTCTATTCAACAAGTCTTTGTATTTGATAAAAATTTTGTGTTGAAACAAAGGAAAAGTTTTGATGGAAAAGACCATTTTACAAGGCAATTCTCCTAATAAAGCTTTGAACAAAAGGTTTTTGATCAGATAATCAAATATGATAAGCACCGTTAGTTCACACTCCATCAAAAACCCACAGCTAGATTTTCATGGATGACGGGTGTGTTCTTTTGGCAGTGTCTTGGAATCCAGTTAAGGTTACCGTGGGTGGAGGCTACCGTGCAGGGTGATGCAATCACTACCCATTTTAATAAACTACAAAATTTTTCTTTCTTTCTTTCTTTTTTTTTCCAATCTTTTTCATTTTATATAATAATAAAACCTCCCCATGTGAGCTGCTCTCTGTAGTCATTGCCATTTCCACGCACTTCACCACTATTGTACAAAGATTTGCCCACACCCTCCAATCATATAGTTGCTCTCTCGCTCTCTCTCTCTCTGTCTCGACTCTTTGGTTTAAGCTTTAACAAATTCAATCTGTCTTCAGTTTTCAGCTTCCACAAAATGATTTTCGGTTCATTTTTTATTGCGGGCTAAGGTTTTTGTTTCCATTGGCTTCCTAGTCTAGCACTTTTGTGGTGCTCCGTTGTGCTGAGAAATTTTGGACGTATAAGGTAAGTTTTTATCTGTAATGAAATTTCCTCAGCGGTTTCCTCAGATTCCTCGTGGCGTGTGTTTAAGGCAAATACATATGGCCCTTAATGCTTTACCACAAGGAATCTTAGCTAGTGAATTGCAGTAAAAGT